GGCTGTGTGCTTTAGCTGAGACATTTACATTTTCTGTGGGTCAGTTTTCTTAACCCTAAGGTGAAGATAATAATAGTACCTAAGTCAGAGTGTTGCTATAAAGATTGACGTTCATATGTAGAAGGCACTAAGAACAGTGCCTGGAACATAGTAAGTACTTATTAATAATTAGTTCCAATTAGTGTTACTATTGGGCTAGATTCATGGGAGATACAATGACAAATGAGATGTAGATTATTTATCTTTAAAGATATGGATTATTTTTATAAATTATTTACCTTTTTTGTGATTTGTTCCTGTTTTGCTTTCCTATCCCAGAGAGCAAATGTCTATGCACCACCGCCAGGGGAAAAGTGTGGAGGGAACATCTAGACATAAATGTTTATGCGTAGGGTGATGAGTTATGCAGCCACGCACACTACAGAGTCGATGTAGGAAGAATGCGTGCAGATGAAGGAAACCATGCCCTTCCCCAAGCTCTGCTCTTCTCTCTGCTGCCGCACTAGCTCTTTCCCAAGGTAGGGGAAATCCTGGTCGGTACTCAAGGGTCAGAGCCTCACGGACTGGGCAGGGTTGCCTGTGGCCAGACTCAGGGTCTGTTCCAGGATGTGTTCCTGCAACCTGGCCTGCAGGTCTCAGCAGCAGGGAGAAGCGAGCAGGAGGCTTCACGTGGGACTTCCCCTAAGGCAACACCCAGCTCCGTTTTTTTTCCAGAGCACCCTCAGAATAGGCCCTTGGCCCATAATCATGCGGTAATCTGTTGCACATTCTACAGTCGTTCTACTACTATATAGATTCTGGGTCAAGAACTTCAAAATGAAGAGATATGAGAGTGGTAGGGTTCAAGCATCAAGACATTATTCACACTCCTGACCCTAGACAGCAAAAAGGGCCATGGCAGGCTCGATACAGTGCTGTGGGTAAACATCCTTGCCTAGTGGCAGGACATGGGAGAGGGAGAAAGTTAGGGGAGGCTCCCTGAGAGAGGCGACGTTTGAGCTGGGACTGTAGGAATGAGGAGTATAGACTAAGAATGTGGGAACCTCTGAGAATTCTGAAAACTAACATAGTTAAACCAAAACATAATTTAATTTAAAAAAGTGAACATAGGAAGTGATTAGAGACACCAAGTCGGCCAGTGACCGGCCTCTGGCTTTGCAGTTCTTGGGCAATCTGGACACACCGCACAAATGGCACCTGGAGGGTGGGTAATGGTCAGTGGGCTCGCCCACAGGCTCAGTGAATTCTCCATTCCCAACCCTATTATTCTAATTCCCTCTTGCCAATTTCCTATTACTAAGCTACCTTTTCATTAAAAACTCAGTTTCCTGGCTACTTTGACCTTCAGAAGAAGGTACCCTGTGTAGAAAAAATAAGTAGCCCAATCCCTAGAAAAAAGACAACCCTGTTTATGCGGATAGAATAGCTTAAAGGTACCATTTCCACCTCTTCATGTTGGGAACGGCCCTGCCTGGTATCAGAAGCTGTAACCCCCACCTAGGCTAAGCCTAAGGGAAGGCCCTTGGAACTGTAAGCCAGCAAGGAGACAAAAGCTTATCTCTCTGGCAGGAGCACTGCTTCATTTATAACTGAACCCCAAAGCTTGGTCGGTTAGCCAAAGATGGATAAGATTCCCCAAGGGGGGAATTACCTAAGACAGGCACGATCACGTGGGAGGCCCCCAAAAGGACTTTGGGGGCTACAGCAAAAGAGGGTGATGGACCCTCGCTCCTCGGCTTTGACACAGCCTGAGTCCTCATCATCTGGGAGAAAAATCTCCTTATCTCTTGGTTGCCTTAGTTCCCTTGCTCCACCTAAGCCTGAAACAATGACAGGGTGGTGCAACTCTGTGCTGAAAAGGGCAGGTTCCCCGGGTGATCAGGCCTAAGAAAGAACATGTAAATTCCTGTGAAACCTTCTTTGTTTAGAATGCTCTCAGTTGAATGAGAAGGGTCCAAGGAGGAAGTTAGTTTGTTCCTTAAAGTTTTACAGCTGTTTGACCCTGACTCAAAATAGGCCCTCAGACTTCCTTGTTATCTATTGTTTGATCCTTACTTCCTAGCAATGAGTAATGAGCTTTTACCTGAATTCTTATGCAAACAAAACCAATAAAAAGCCTCTCCAGAGGGAGAACAGCGTGCTCTCCCCATCAGGGAGGGTGGCCAAGTGGCGCCCTCCAGGAGAGAGGGTGGCCAAGGTGCTCCCCAAGTGAGGAGTGGCCCTGCTGTTCCTATTCCCCCAAGGGACCTGGTTGTCTCGGTGTATGTTTTTTCTCGTGCTTTGACGAGCCATCCACAGCGTTCCGTGATCACTGCTGGCCGGTGACCCATGCATCATCTTCACTTGCTACTTCCAGCAAATCACTCAGGCTCCCTCCTTCCTCCTCCACTGAATCCACGCCAGGAAAATCTACCCATTTCCTCAGGTCCTGAATGCACCCGCTATTTGTTGAGTCTTCACACTACTGGGCTTCCCCTTGGCATGGGGCTCTGTTTCCTGACATGCTTCTTGCCTGTACCTTCTTGCTGGGATGCCCTGTAGGACATTACCTGGCTCTGTTTCTCCCCGTTTGGCAGTCCCCTTTGAAGGTGGTGTCACTCATTATTCCTGAGGATCTTGGGAAAGTCTCTATTCAAGACCCACAGGGCTAAAGCCCAGGCCCAGGGTAATCTAGTGGAGTACTGCCCCTTGAGAAGCTCGCTCCACAAACACCCCACTAGCACCCACCAGATGATGGTAGGACTGGCATGTGAAGACGAGTGAGGTGGTCAGCGAGAAGAGTAGAAGAACAGATAGTGAAAGCTCAGGGTGAGAGGAGCAGCGGAATGAGAAAGGGCCGTAAAAGGAAGCTGGGCCAGAGAGGACATTCTAGATGAATAAGTTGAAGCTCCATTCAGGGAGCAGGTTGGAATTGTCACTGATTTTTGAGGGTCAAGGCCAGGCTTCAGGCTGTACCTGCAGAATGGGGGAGAGGAGCAAGCAGACAATCTGGGGATCTGTATGCACATCACAGGCCCTGCTGCCCCTGCGCAGCCACCTCACCTAAAAGTCCTCCCTCTTCTGTCCCAGCAAGGTCTTTCGTACTTCCCAGCTAACTCAACTGGCTCTATAGAGCCTTCCTATGGCTGCAGCCCACCTGATGTCCGTGTTCATAAAACCGTCTGGACTACACAACTAACTTCATTCTCTCTTCAGGTGCAAAGTGACATAGAGCACCTGGCCTCGTGCTTCATTTGTTAGGTCCGTGTGCTCAATGAGTTATAAGCTCTCACGTGGCACATCTGAGCCACCTGGCAGTGTACTAGGTTGACTACAAACAGAATAAATATGTATTAGACGTTTTCAGAAGTAGATGGACTTTGGAATATTTATTATTTTCCAGAGTAACAGACTCTTCTTCTGCTCATTGTCCTCCCACACTCCCTCCCCCCATTCTTTCCTTCTTCCTGGTCACATGGTTGCCTAGGTTGAAGACTACATTTCCCAGCCTCCCTTGCAGCTAGGTCATATAATTATATTCTTGCCAAAGGAATGTGAGCAGCAGTGATCTGTGCAACTAGCCTAAAAAAGAAACTGCTTCCTTTCTTTCTCCTTTCCTCAAGCTTAAGCAAGGACATGCAAGCAACTCAAATTCCATACAGATGAGGACAAAGCCTTAGGAGATGGTGGAGCAAAGAGATAGAAGGAACCTAGGTCCCTGAATGACCTTGTGGATCAGAGCTGTCCCACTAGCCCAGACCAGCCAGACGCATGTGAGAGAAAAACAGTCTATCTTATTTAAGCCACTGTATATTGAGATCTCTGTTTCAGCAGTTAAGCTTCTACCCAACTAATTTATTTCCCTAAATCTCTTCTCCCCATCTTCCTTAATACAATGATTCCAATTTTTTTAATTGGGCATATTACTTCTCTGTGGAAAGGCTACATTTCCCAGCCTCCTTTGCACCTATGAGTGACCACATGACTAAGTTAAGTATAAGTAGAATTGTTATATGGGACTTCTGAGAAATCTCTTTATAGTCAGTGACCTTCTCCTTCCTACTTTCTCTTTCCTACTGTCTGGAAAGTAAATGTAATGGCAGGAGGTCAAGCAGCCATTTTTGGATCATGAAGTTACAGCCTAAGAATTGTAAAGAAGCAGAAGACCAGGATCCAGTGTCTCTGATGATCAGATCTGGGCTGGCTATTTCTAGATTTCATTTTTTAAAAAACTATTGCTCTTAGCGGAAGAAAAGGAAAATCACTACTTTCCAGACTGCAGGAAAAAAGAGGCCAGTTTCCATTTTTCTGAATAGAATCAGCTTGGCTTTTGTGCTCACTGAAGCATCTCCACCGGGAGGTCTGTGGCTGACAAACCCCAGTCTCGGCTCAGCAGGCCCCAACAATGGTGGCTCACACTAGGGGACCATAACATTCACGGTAACAGAAAAGAAGTGGGATGGAGGCAGGGAAGGAGATGTGACCCAGCTCGGCGGCAGGGCAATGGGCACGGACAGAACACTAGGAGGTTAGGGAGCTTGCCATTGCAAATCTAGGTCAATACACACAGGGAGGAAATAAGGCAACATCTTTCTTTAATTCGTTATTTCTGCTTTCCACCGACTGCTCTGATCTCACACACCCCAGACCAAGGGCAGTTTCCCCCCCAAAAACACCCCTTCCCCCACCCCCCGACAGAGATGTGGAAGCCAGATCCTGAACACCCGGGGTGCCCCACCTGTCCGAAGCTTCGCAGGACTTGGCTGCACACCTCCCTCTCTGAGCCTCAGTCTCCCCATCTGTAAAGCAGACCGCAGGTGGAAGGCGCTGACCGCTAGCTCTTCGGGTCCCGTCCCCAGGAGGATGGGGGTCTGAGCCCTGCGCTCTCCGTCCCGCTGTGCCAGAGCTGCCTCCATTCGCATCCTTACCCACATTCCGCCCTCGCTTCCGCTCCTGCCACCACCCCTGCCCCCCACCCCGCGTCTCCCTTTCCGCAACCCTTTACCCTCCCGTAACCTCACCTTCCTCGGACAGGTAGCGCAGGTCATAGAACTCCCCCGCGAACGTGCCGTAGGAGGAGTCGTGGCGCGGCACCGCCTCATCTGTGCCCGCGTCCCCCCGCGCGCGGCCCCGGGGTCCTCGGCCCCCTGGTCCCGCGCCGTCGTCCGCAGGGCTGGCGGCGCAGGCGACCGGCCCGACCAGCAGCAGCGAGAGCAGCGGCAGCCAGGCCCCCGGGCTCTGCCGGAGCGGCCGCGCCATCGCTGCGCACCAAGCCCACAGCCAGGCCGCTCGGCCGCAGCGGGGGCGCCACGGCGCGGGCCGGGACTTCGCCACCTCCGCCGCCACCAGCACGCGCCGGTCCGTCCCCCGCCCGCAGCCCGCGCAGCCGCGAAACCGCCTGCACCCGCCACCGCCTGGCCCCGGTCTGCGCATCCTCGCTTGGGCCTGAAGCCTCCCCCCTTTTCTACCATCTGTTCCTCTTCGCCAAGCTCTTTCCTTCTTAGCTTCCTCCGTCCTTTCTCCCAGCCGCTGCATTTCTGCTCCCTCCCTCCACGTGTCTCCCACAGACACAGATCATCCCTTCTAGACTCGCTACTCAGAACGTGTCCTCAGATCAGCGGCATCCGCATCCCAGATACCTTGTTAGCATTTTCCCCCTCACTGCGGACACATGAATCGAGATCTGCAAGTGACCGAGACCCCCGAAAGACCCCAAAGTACGTTCAGGTTTAAGAAGAGCTCCTTACACACACCCTGTCAGGATTGCTGCCTCCCCGACCTTGTTTAAGAACTTTTTGATGTATACAAAGCACTTACTATGCCCATGTCTTAGGGGCATCACCTAAGTTGAAATAGGAGGACCCTCACTATAAGTAAACTGAGGCGCTTAAAGTCAGAGGCAAACTAGAGCGCTTCTCTCTGGGCTGGATACACCTGCTGCCTCTCCAGACTTTCTGAGTGTGTAATCCGCAGAGGCTGCTGGTGCTTTTGCATAACTTGCTTCTTTCAAAACTAGGCAGCTGGTCTACGGGGTTTCCCCACAGCAAGCACGCATGCATGCACGCACAGGCCCCAGCAGGTTTATACCGTGCCTGACGGTCACGCTGAATTCTCAACTTTCTCAACTCCGTTCCCACCGCCGCTTGCGATTCACTTCGGCTGTTTACTCGGCCATCCCTTTATTCACACCAAGCACTTAACCCCATGCCAGGTCCTCCCTAATGGTGCTTTTGGAGTGCCACCACATTCCAATGGCTAAGCTGTTTTCTGTTAGAAAACATGGACACAATTCCTTTTATGCTGGTATTGCAGAGTTAGCATTTTTGCCTGCTTTTTTTTCTTGTTCTTTAAATTTTTTTTTCATAAATAAAATAATTATGAAGGCAGAAAAACATAGAGGTTCCAAGTGCAGACCCAAAAGTCAGTTGGGGTGGAGTGGTGATCAGTAACTTCCATGATGGCCATAAAGATTTAAATAAGGTGATATAGGTAAGAATCAACAGGGTTCAAGGATACAAATGGCATGAATGAATATGTAAGATTATGAAATACAAACATTTTTAAAAAACAAAAAAACAATAACTAGTGATCTCAACCTTTCTTGGCCCAGGGGAGATGGGAGACCATCCTGTTGTAGAAACAGTGAAAAGGGCCTGGTGACCCAGAGATCAAGTGTCTGCTATTAGGTATCAGCCGACACTGACAGTGGGCTTTCAGTTAGAGTTGAAACATGTTTACCCTGGCAGATGAATCAGGTGTAACTCATAAAAACCTTACGTTTCGTGAGATCTCCCAATATAACAAGAGTTGCAAGAAATCAGATTTATTCCTTTAAAAAGGTTAGATGAACTACAACTACTTAAAAAATCGAGCAAAGAGACTCCTCCCCCAAAATAGCTTTGCAATGTATAAAATTCTAAAACACTGAGTGATGGAAATGCCAATCGATTGAAAATCTATTAACATGTAATCCTAAAAACAAAACCCTCCTTCTTAAAAATTGAAATTCCTTCATTTTCTTCTGTTCACCAGGAAAGATATAGTCAGTTTTAAATAGACCAAAATTTAGCAGAAAAAGAGAGAAAAATGGAAGTACCACATTTCTGATTTCAGTGTTGATTCAATTACTTTTTTATTCCCTTGATTTCAGTTACAATTAACAGTGATGGTGCCAGAAAGAAAGTAAAAGAAAACCAGGTTATTCTTTTGGTAAATTGGCCTGACAGAACCATGTGGGGTTTTTTTTTGGGGTGGGGGGCTAGGTTTTGCAGAGGACGATGGAGATGGTGTTGGAGGAGTGTTTGCACCTGCAGCCTAAAACAAGGCTTGCAGGTCATGTGTGGATTCAGTGATTTACCCATGTTGCAGGACCTGGGGTCCAGAGACTCAAAGGGGGCCACACATGGGCTTCAGGGGCGATGTGAAGACCCTGTGAACGTGTCGGAGTCATGTTGCAGTGTATGGTATTTTCCAGGGAGAACACCCACAGCTTTCACGGGTCACTTAAAGTCTTCATGCCTCTCCAGGGTCTTAGAACCTACTCTGGTGTCCAGTTCTGTACCAACTGGGCTGCTTCTTTTAGAAAGGTTCTCCCACCCACTTAAATGGCCTTTGAAGATTTTCTTATTCTTTATCTTTTCTACTAATATTTGAGCTTAGTTACATGGCAGGTTTTACAGAGACTCTCTGCTCCTCCCTGCTGTGAGTCTACTGAGTGGCCAAGAAATACTCTGCTGTTTCCCTCTTATGTGCACATTTTGTGTGTGTGTGGTGGGGGGGGGGCTTCCCTGAATATTGAGACCACTGGCTGTACAAGAGACTGCTATTCAAGCAAGAACTTAGAGATAAACCTGAGTTCGATTTCATTTTTAAAAGAAAACACCTTTATTTTCTCTTCTCATAGAAGCCATTTCTCTAAAACAACTTTTTTTTTCTGTTACAAAAACTGCCCCAAATCAGTGCTGCTTCTCGCTTATCTGACCAGTAACCGATCTGCTCATGCTCTCACTGTGCAGTAATCACTGTGATTTTTTTTCACTCTTGATTGTTTAAGAAATAAAAGCTGTGATCTTGGCAGTTTCTCAAAAAGTTAAACGAAATGTTGCCATATGGCCAAACTATGCCAATCTCAATTATATACTCAAGAGGATTGAAAGTATATGTTCATGGAAAAACTTATACACAAATGTTTCTATTGCTCGGAATAGCCCAAAAGTGGAAGCAACCCAAATGTCCATCAACTGCTGAATGGATACACAAACTGTGGTCTGTCTGTACAGTGGCATATTATTCGGCCATGAGAAGGAATGAAGCGCTGACCCATGCTGCAACATGGGCGAACCTTGAAAACATTATGTTAAGTGAAAGGAGCCAGGCACAAGGGACCACATATCCTACGACTCCACATACAGGAAGTGTGCAGAACAGGCAACGCCAGAGACATGAATCAGAACCAGCAAGTGGATTCGTGGTTGCTGGGGGCTGGGAAAGGGGAGAGTTGGTAGTGACTCTAGGTGTGGGGTTCCCTTTTGGAAGGTTCTGGAATTCGTGGCAATGCTGGCACAGCACTGCAAATGTACTGAAAACCAGTGAATTATACACTTAAAATGGTAATGGTGAATTTTGAGTTCTTCAAAAGTAGTGACTTTTGAGATGGTGAAAGAAATATAAAGATAAGGATATCAGGTTTGGGAAATATGAAATTTGGGTTGCAGGCAGGTGAGATCTTCTGAATGCTCCAGGACATAATTTTAAAACTCTTCAAACGTAAGAATCTCCTACTGAGGTCTATAGTCCAACACCCCCCCCCCCCCACCATGGGTCACTGGCATCCCAGGCCCCTTGCCCTAACCCCATGTCCACCAGGAGTTTGGGGCCCACACCACTTTGGGGCCATTGCTCTGCAATGATTATGTCAACAAGCTGATCTCCTCCTGCCCCCCAATATAAGATGTGTGTCGTGCAACCAGGCAGTGCTATTGTTTTGGTCTTCAGTTTATAAAAAAGATGGAGCGGTTGTACCAATTCACTTTTATCCCAGTGAATCCACCCAACCCAAGGTCATCTGCTCAGCTCACCATGCCAAGCACCCATTATACACTAATGTAGGCAAATAACCAGGACAACTGCTGAAACAATGGAATCCTCTTGATTTTACTGGTTAGTGTTGAGCTGCCAAAGGTACTGGGTTCTCATACACAGTATTAGCCAACTGCTTTGTGATCAGACTTCCAGTGACATCAACCTTCTGAACATCTGTGGACCTCGGGGGACGTGGGGAAGAAGCAGGAGGCTGAGAGCCTCCTAGCACAGCAGCCAAAAAGCCCATGCATCCCTCCTCAGAAGCAGAGCCCCCCTGACACCCTGGAACACGGGGGCTCCCAGCTTCTGCAAGAAAACTTCCATTTTGCCTGAAAAGTTTCCATTCGAGAGCAGGACGTGAAGAGCAGAAGAGTCAGAAAGCAGTTAGGAGAGAAGGAGGGAGGGTGCTGGGTTAGCAGGAGGTGACCAGCCCAGACACAGATAGCTCCCCCAAAATGTACAGGACCACAGTTTGCTTCATTGTGTGCACAAGACTGCAAAAGCTGTTTTAAAAGTACAGCCAGGGGTCATGTAGTATGGGGGTTAAAAGATCCCAAATACCCCAATTGCCCCAGGTGGCTTCACAGGAGGAGCAGACAGCAGTAATGAGAAGCCATCAATGAGAAGAGCACAATAGTCTGTGAAAGGCAAAGCCAAGCCCCGCACATGTTGTTAGCTTCTGATGTTCTGATGACGTTACTGCACCACAGCAAGGTACCAAAGGGCTGATGTTTACAGTGACGGCCATGACTCATAGAGAAAAGCTTAAAGACTCTCCAGTGTACTCTGTTTACTAAGGCAGGGAAGTGTGTAATACGTTTTAGAAAGATTTCCCTCAAAAAATATTAATATTTTAAAGATTCAGCACTTCCAGGGTTAATCCTCTGTTATCGGAATATTTGCTTACATACCTCATTTTACAATAATGCTAGTAAATGAGGCATTGCTCTTTTTTAAATAATCATTAGTATGAAATTATTGGCACCATTCAGTTTTAAGTACAGGGACAGGAGAGCAAATTATACAATACAACATAAAAATACAGTTCTGGTACAAATATGTGAGATCAATTCCATTTAACAAGTGGTCTTAAGAAATGGATGGACATTTTACACACGAGGAAATACAGCTAGTAAATCATCACATGGAAAAGTACTCAGCCTTGCTAGCAATTAATGAAATAAAACAACATTTCAAGAACAACAATACACACCTATTAAACTAGCAAAAATAAATAAAAACGGCAAAACCCAATACTGGCAGAACTATTGGTAAATAGAAATGCTTATACATTGCTGGTGGCATCATAAATTGAAGAAGGAATTCAAGCATTCAGAGGGGGTGGGAGGGGG